CTACATAAGGTTTATTGAGTGATCTCTAGTCTCTGTGGTTCGACCCCTAGATACTACAACTGCATATCTGTGCTCTTGCAGAGTAGCTTAGGGATTAAACTTTGAGCAGATCAGTTATGCAACCAGTAGTCGACTACTATCAATGATGTATTACCGAAAGTAAGATCTAAAAAGCGTAGATCTGGATTGTTCACTCCATTTTTGTAATCAAAGTATTAACAATCTCTAAAACTAGATCTAACATTAAAAACATGTGATTACACAGAAAACAAGCAACACGAGTTGACAAAACGCAGTCCTAGATATTAGTATTAAGTATACTATAATGCTAGATCTAGAATTACAGAGATGTCATTTGTGAAAAAATGAGAACAAACGAGAAAATCGAGCTGAGCAAACGAAATGACAGTTGATATTAAAAATTATACCGGTCACTCAGCGGTGATGGAAAAACTACAACTTTGGAGTCGAGGAATGTAGGCGGTGCGGTGGATTATTCTCGTCTACCGAGCTTTGGAGGAAGAGCTTGAGAGAGAAAAGGGAGGAAGGGCTGAAAAAAAGAAGATTTTGAATTTCAAATTTGAAGAAAGAGAATGGATCTATTATGTAGAAGGAACTTTTCTCCGTAAAAGAGAGAAATTTTTGTGAAAAAGTAAAATGTTGTCATATATAAAAAAGTTTACAATGCTAGTGTATTATATCGAATAACATTGTTAAAAAAAGAGGATGAGGTGTTGAGTAATTTCTCACCCATTAAACATAATAAAATAATAGTGCCAATTTGGACATTGAAACATGCTGTTCCACCTAATTTCCCTTTATTTAATTTCTAAATAAGTTAAAATATTTTTATGTGAAATAATTACTCAACACATAATAAAAAAATGCATTTTTGAAATTAAGTCTTAAAAGAAAATATAAAAATAGAGATAAAAAGGGAAATATATTAAAAAGAAAAAAATTCTTACTAGTCACATCCTAAGCAAAGAAAGAAAAAGGCAACGTTATGAGATGTTAAAAAAAAGATTTTGACATTGAGAAAATGCGAAGAGATGTACAGTGGATCCACTTTTTCCCTCCCTCAGTGGATCCACGTTTTCCCTCCCTTCTTTCATCTCTCATATGGTAGTCAACAATTAATTAATAATTTAATACTCTCACACAAACTGGACTTTAATAAACAAAATAGTTGTAATAATTGTATATTTTAAAATTTTGTCAGCTCTAATTATTCGGACAGACATATTTAAGTTCCAAAGGTCTCTATAAAAATGTAAACGCCAAACGGTAATAGTAAGTGAAAAATGTGATTGATGCGGAATAAACAGAAATATTATAAATTCAACAAAACAAATGCTCAATGGTAAGTTAATAACTTTAAAATAATGTTTTCGCCTTTCTATTTTTTATTAATTTATATTATTTTTGACTAATACTGTATTGATAAATTTCTTAAAAATACATGTTAGATTTAATTAGTAGTATACGTTTTCTTAAGAGACTGTCAGATTGTGTACGTCAAAAAAAAATATGTTATTTAAAAATTTCAATTTTTTTTTCATGCGGTATACAATGCATGTTGCCATGTTTATTTTGAATCGGGGACTACGAAACATATTTCTGTATGGTGACTCTAATTTCTAATATTAATGTTAATTCTTGTGTGAATTTCTAAGAGAATCGATTATAAAATCACTGTTTCACTAAAAATATATGGAGTATTTTCTTAGAACATATCCAAAACGAATTGAAAGAGATTGGCAATATTATATAAGTACTCTACGAGTAACAAAAAAATAACAAGAAAACATATACATATTATTGTATACAAAACTATATAGATCCATTTGAATCTAAAAGAGTAAATCTAGCTCAAACAAGGGTGAGAATCATAAACCGATAGTAGAATAGTACTATAAAAAACATAAGGCTCCGGGACCAAACGGCATGACTGCACTTTTCTACCAACGCTCGTGGCAAATCATTAAGGCAGATATAGTAGGATTAGTTAACGGTTTTCTGGACACAGGGAGCTTCGATGAGAGATTGAACATGACAAATATTTGTCTAATACCAAAAACGGAAAGACCCACCAGGATGACAGAATTACGCCCCATCAGCCTATGTAACGTGGGCTATAAGATAATTTCCAAAGTATTATGTCAAAGGTTGAAAAAGCTATTACCGGACCTGATATCGGAAACACAATCAGCCTTTGTGGCAGGACGGTTGATTTCGGATAATATCCTAATTGCCCAGGAGATGTTTCACGGACTGAGGACCAACAAGTCCTGCAAAAACAAATTTGTTGCAATTAAGACCGATATGAGTAAAGCTTATGATAGAGTTGAATGGAGCTTTATTGAGAATTTGTTGAGACGTTTTGGCTTTGCGGAAAAATGGATAGTTTGGATGATGAGATGTATAACTTCGGTTAGTTATAAAGTCCTCTTGAATGGACAACCAAAGGGACAAATCATTCCTGGCAGAGGATTACGTCAAGGGGATCCCTTATCACCATATTTATTTATATTATGCACGGAGGCCTTAATTTCGAATATAAGGAAAGCGGAAGAGGAAAAATTACTGACGGGTCTAAAGATCGCAAGGGCGAGCCCACCGATTACACATCTACTTTTTGCGGATGATAGTTTATTCTTTTGCAAAGCAAAAAAGGAAGAGATTCAGAAGATTCTATCTATATTGAATACGTATGAAAGAGCATCAGGCCAACAAATTAATTTTGATAAATCATCTCTTGTATTTGGCCATATGGTTTCTGAGGAGGTACAAAATGAGTTGAAACAACTATTAGGTATTTCGAAGATTGGAGGAAATGGATCCTATTTGGGTATCCCGGAAAGTCTAGATGGGGCCAAAAGTAGAGTCTTTAATTTTGTAGCGGAAAGACAGCATGATCGGATTAATGGCTGGACCTCGCGGTTATTATCAAAAGGTGGAAAAGAAGTCTTACTTAAGTCAGTGGCATCGGCAATGCCTACTTTTGTAATGTCATGCTTTCGTTTACCCAAGTCTACAACGGCAAAGTTGACAAGTGCAGCGGCGAGATATTGGTGGTCCTCTGATGGTCACAATAGAGGAATGCATTGGATCGCATGGAACAAGATGTGCAGAGGCAAGACAGAAGGAGGAATTGGATTCCGAAATGTGGAGGATTTTAACACAGCACTATTGGCAAAACAATTATGGCGTTTATTAGATAAACCAAATTCATTGTTTGCACGAGTTTTTAAGGGACGATACTTTCGGAGTTCGCCATCCTATGGTTGGCAGAGTATAATATCGGCTAGATCTCTGGTTAATAAAGGGCTAATCAAAAGAGTTGGTTCGGGCTGTTCCATTTCGGTATGGAATGACCTCTGGATACCAGACTCTCGCCCGAGATCAGCCACTTGTAAGGGTTTTAATTATTACCCGAATTTAATGGTAAATCACCTGATTGATCCAATGACAAATACTTGGAATATGGGTTTGCTAAATGCAATTATCGAACCTGCGGATGTGGAAATTATTCGGGGAATACCTATTAGCAGGACCTACAGCCAGGATTCACTAGGCTGGCATTTTACCAAATCTGGTAGATATACGGTTAAATCGGGATATCACATTGAGCAACAATACAAGGACTGCCCGCGAAATGATATTTACGGCCCAGATGTTAAAGTTCTACAGGCTCACGCATGGAAATTAGAGTGTACACCGAAATTAAGACACTTTATTTGGCAGGCTATATCTGGATGTCTATCAGTGTCGGCTAGATTACGGACACGTGGAATAAAATGTGACACTCAATGCGCACGATGTGGAGTAGAGGAAGAAACTATTAACCATGTTCTATTTGAATGCCCCCCTGCCCTGCAGACTTGGGCTATGTCTCAGATACCAACCCCTCCGGGCGTTTTTCCAATGACTTCGGTTTTCTCAAATTTCGACCATCTGTTCTGGAGATTGCCAAAGGATTCTAACAATTCTCAATTTCCATGGATTGCGTGGTATATATGGAAAGCAAGAAATGAGAAAGTTTATTCGAATATCGATGTGGACCCAAGGATTACTTTAAAAAAGGCAGAAACTGAGGCGGTACTATGGACAGAGGCTCAAGCGAATGAGCGAGATTTGGGGATACAAGACAATAGGAACATTTTGATGTCCCAACCAATGATATATGAGGGTTGGTGGTGTTTTATTGATGCCTCTTGGAAGGCAACAGATTTATCATCGGGATTGGGATGGTATTATTTCCAGGACAGGGTTAAGGACAAAATAATGGGAGCACGAAATGTCAGACGGAGTCTATCACCTCTGCATGCAGAGATGGAAGCCCTAATTTGGGCCATGCTTTGCATGATCGAGAATCAGAAGACAGAGGTCGCTTTTGCAACAGACTGTTCGGATTTGGTGCAGATGGTGTCTGAACCCGCCGAATGGCCAGCTTTTGCTATACACTTGGAGAAAATCGTGAAGATCAAGGAGAGGTTTAGTTTCTTTTCACTATCACACATTCCACGCGCGAAGAATATGGAAGCAGATAACCTAGCAAAAAGTGCTCGGATCTATCCTCGTGATGTTAATTATGTAAACTCGGTACCTCCGATTTGGTCTATCATAAGTATCTAGACTGTTGACAAAAAAAAAAAAGCCCATAACAAAAAAAACCTAATTCGTTAATCCAATTTTTTTGCCTACAAATAAAAAAAAGCTATCCACCACAAAAATGCTATATACTGTAACAAATTTACTTATCTTTACTAAATCGTCTCAATTCAAACAAATTAAATGTCAAAAGAATATCTCAGATTCAGACAGCTAAAATAAATAAACTAAGAGTATATTAAAAAAAAAAAGTAGACAAAGGTCTTTCAGTCTTCAGACTTCAGAGAATGCTTTTAATTCAAAAGCTCACTTCAATTTTCAAAATTAATTTTTAATATTTTTTCTAACTTACTCTCTCTCTCTTTACTCTCCTCTTTTGTCTCTTCTGTCATCTTCCTCCTTTTTCTCCTCTCTGATGTGCATTGCGATTTACATCTCAGAAACCCTAGATTTCGAAATCTAGGGTTTGTTCTTGGTTCTCTTGTTTCTTGGTCTATACTAGGCTGTAATTGTAGGAACAGCTTCACCTTTTGCCTCGTCTCCTATCTCTGTTCTTGTTGCATTCGCGAATTCAAATCTGCATTTATCTTGATTTCTGAGCTCACGATTTGCTTCTTCTTCCTCTTCTTCTAGGCTTCTAAAGATCGAATTGGATCTTGAGGTTAGTTTAGGCTTGCCTAAATTTTTATGGGCTTTTAACTTAGAAAGTAAAAAAAAAAAACCCACTTGATTCTGGGGTTTTCTTCATTATCTTGAAAAAAGACCTTAGTTCAGCTCTCCGATTTTTTCGCTGGCGGTGGAGATTTAAAAGCTTATTTTTTTTTCAAAAAGGTTTCCTACTTTGAGTAGGACTCTGTTCTCAAAACCCTGTCTCCTAATTCTATCCAAGAAAGGAATTTTAAAATTTAGGGTTTATAAATGCATGGAAGGTCGAGAAGCAATGCCATTCCCAGCAACAGAAGCAAATCCTCCTCCTTTCTATTTCCCCAGAGGAGCTTTCACTTCAATCCCGGCTTCTCAATCCGCGAGTATCCTCCACGCGCCGCCTGGTTTCAGACCAATGCCTAACCCTAGTTTGCAGCAGCAGCATCCGTTTCCCTTTGGGGAGCAGAGACATCATCAAGAATTCAGCCATGGGATTCACATGGGCATCGCTTCTTCTCCTCCGACTATGCAATCGCCGGTTTCTCCGCCGGTAGCTGCGACGGAGCCGCCGGTGGTTAAGAAGAAGCGTGGACGGCCGAGGAAGTATGTGCCTGATAATCAGACTGATCTTGGACTCTCTCCGATGTCTTCTTCTTCTCACAAGCCAAAGAACTCTTCTTCAATGTCTGATGATCCTAATGCACCCAAACGAGCTAGAGGTCGGCCACCAGGAACCGGGAGAAAGCAGCGTCTCGCTAATCTCGGTGAGTTTCTAATTGTTGAATTAGGATTGAAAGAAGCTTCTTTGTGATTCATGTTTGAGAGAATTAGGATTTAGAATGTGGTTAGTTAACTTGAGGAGTTATAACATTGGATTCGTTTGGCTTGTGACCTATGATTTGCTGAAAGTAAGACACTGGAGCTTTAGATATGATACTGTATTTGAGTTAATGAAGTTGCTCTTAGCTCTGTTGTTAAGCTACTCAACTGTGTTTAAAGCAATCTCACCGAGAATACAATGGTACTTATAGGATTTTGTTGCCTTGTGATTTAGCTGAAAGTAGGACACTGGGACCTAGACGTGAGTAGATGTTTTGAGTTAAGAAGTTGCTTTTAGCTCTGTTATTAAGAGGCTCAACTTTGGTTAAAGCAAATTGACTGATTTGATGTTGCTATTTGACTCGATGGGCTCGTCAACTTGGATAGGATTCTATATTTAAGTGAAGCTTTTAGATCTGTTGTTAAGCTGCTCAACCTTGGTAACTGAATTACTTGTGTTTTTTTTTTTGTTATGAGAATTGAGAAGTAAGTTAGCATTAATAATGTGGTTGGTTAGTTAACTTGGTATTAGATATCATACAACTGCTGGGTGTGATGTGAATATCCTGTTCTTGTTTGCTTGTTATACCTTTAATTTTCTTCACTATAGAAGTTACTTAGGCATGAGCTTGTTACAAACAGCTTCTAACTTGGTTGTTTGCATTGCTTTGCTCTACTGTAATTAGGTGAGTGGGTGAATACTTCAGCTGGACTTGCTTTTGCACCACATGTGATCAGTGTTGAAGCCGGAGAGGTATTTTCTATCTCTCCATTTACTCTTTATTTCATGCATATTATGAGTTTTGAGCTTTCTCAACATATGATTTGTCTTTTTTGGTTTTGTAGGACATTATTTCAAAAATCCTTTCGTTTTCACAGCAAAGACCAAGAGCCCTCTGTATAATGTCAGGAACCGGAATGGTTTCTACAGTGACGCTATGCGAAAGCGGATCCTCAGTGCCTACTCTGACTTTTCAGGTCCAATCATCTTCTCTAATTCACTTATTTATTCTCTAGTCTCACCTACAAAATTCCTTATTCAGTCTTCAAATTTTTGTTGTTGTTTGTTGTGTAGGGGCATTTTGAGATACTGAGTTTAGGAGGATCTTACCTAGTGGACGAAGAAGGTGGTCCTAAAAGCCGAATTGGCAGTATCAGTGTCTCTCTCTCCCGCCCTGATGGTTATCTGATTGGTGGCGGAGTTGGATCCCTTATTGCAGCCAGTCTCGTTCAGGTTTCAGAAATTTCTCATCTTTTTAGTGTTTAACACATTGTTGTAGAGATGCTTTGTTTGAATGGTTAACGCAAAAAACTGAAACTTTCTTTGGTGGGTTTTGTAGGTTGTGGCGTGTAGTTTTGTATACGGGAGTGCAAAGGCTAAAGTAATTAAGCAAGAGAAAGGCTCAAAGGAAGACAACAAAAGCATCAACTTGGAGACACCGACCAGTGAAAGGCCACCGCCACCGCCACCGCCACCGCAGTCGCCACCGCCACCGCAGTCGCCACCGCCAACAGCAACAATATCAGAAGCGGAACCGCCTCAGACGGGATGGTCATGATCATAGTAGAATTCCAAAGTCAACTTTAGTTTCAAATTTTATCTTTGACCATAAAAAACCTTTATTTTTTGTCCATGGGTCCACAAAAAAGAAAAGAAACTATGTATAAATATCTTCATTTCAATCAATTAATCAATTCCAGTGACCGGAAAACAGTAATTTATAGAGCTTTTCCCTAATTTTCACATTTAGTTTGGTGATTTATTTTAATCAAAGCAAGCAAAACCGGTTTGAGCTCGCTCTAGGAACAGGTTCAAAATGCTACGGTTTTTGGTTAGAACCAATTTGAGCTTTAAGCCTGGTCAATGTAATCCTTGACAAAGTAAATCATTACATTTCTTCAATTTTGATTGCAATGGTAAATAACCGAGTTATTCAATGAACTAGTGATCCCGGTTTTGTAATACAAGTTTTGTTCTTCTTACATCTTAGATTGAAAACCCGGTTTAGGTACGGTTCCCATCTCTCGCTGCTTCTCAAATCTTTGTTTGGCTTTGAAAAGGATCTCATGGACCTCATCAAAGTGAGGCATTGTCGCCTTTCTCGTATTCTCAATCCATTGTTCAACTTTCTTATGAGGACTGAGCAATCTAACACGATCTTTCTCATCCAAAAGCTGCAAAATTTACATAAACTGTGTACAGTCAAAAGCCGATAATTTAGCAAAGGAAGCAACTTTTTACTCCAAAATGTTCCATATGATTAGTAATTCACAAAAAACAGCGAAATCCATCAAGAAAAATGCATGCTTTTTGTGTACCTGCAGTTGCGTAAGTTCACATACAAGGCTCAGATCAGCTATAGATGGTTGGTTGCTTCCAAGCAAGAACTTGGCATTGCCCTTAAGCCAGAAAGTCTCTAGAGTGGACAGAGACTTTGTTAGTAGCTTATCGGCTTTAGAAGCTGCTTGCGGATCCAGAGGAAGTCCAAGAGATGGAGCTAAAACACTATTCAGAACATATCCAGCTAAAAAAATAGTAAAACAACCGTTGATCAGAAAACAAAAAGCTGATCATTCTATGCCTATTTTGGAAATGTTGTGTGATTACCTGCACCAGGGCGTAAATTTGTGTGATGCCAATCCAAGACTGAGTGAATCTTGGCTCTCTTGGAAAGATCGTTAGGGTACCTAAAGTAAAAAAGAATGAATATTTGAAGCAAAATGATCACACTTTGTGACAAGAACATGTGTCAAACAACAAAGTACAAACTTACCAATGATCAGCTACACTTGGGAATGCAGAGGAAAGATAAATCAAGATCGCGTGACTGTGAGAAGAATTAACGGTTAAGATTCATAAACAATGGTCAATAAGATATAATCAAGCAAGAATTTTTTTTTGCGTAACCTCTCGAAGAGCTTAAGCCTGCCGTCAACAATAGCTGGAACTTTCCCCAGTGGATTAATATCTGAGAAACGAGACACAATTTACAAGCTTTTCCCTAACTTCACCTTTAACATTAGTTCTTGTCAAGAACGGAAAACGGAATTGATTCACCTTATTATTATACACTTGCAAGCAATAACAACATGTTCGAAATCAGCCATGTCAAATTCATTCAAACACTAAACACTTGTACGAATATTTTACGAACCTTTGAACTCAGGTGCTAATTGCTGACGCTTGGCCAAAGAAATCAGAATCTCATCGAATTGTATTCCATTCACCCTTTAAAAAAGTTTAATTCAATCGAAATTATCATCTTTAAGACGAAAGAAAGGCTGAATCTTGAATCAACAAGGAAATACAAGAATCTTACTTGCAGAATATGATGACAGCACGAGATGGCTGTGACATACGATCTGTATACACTTTGAGCTTCATTCTTCTTCTTTTTGATTCTTCTTCTTCTAATGATTTGTGTGGATCACACGAAGTTTCAGAACATTGAACGGTGATAATCTTGGAAAGCTGCTTCCGCAATTGAGAATAAAACGCTGTGCCGTTTCTAAGTAGTAAACGGCAAACAGTGTATCTTAACTACTGACAGAAACAGAACACAAATAGTTACACTTTTCTGTTGTTAAGAAATTAAGAATAAAATTTACATGTTGTTTCAACGTAACCAAACATTAGTTTGTTGAAAAATTATCAAAAATAATAAAAATAAAAATGGAAGTAACAAAAATAACGTTAATAAACAAATAAAAATCTATACTGACTTGTTGATTTTCTCAAGTAAGTTATCAAAAGTAATATCAAAAGCATCTCGAAACTTTTTAAACTTAGCATTAGAGTCTCCATAGACCAAACCAGGTAAAAGCTGATGAACAATGTAACTTCTCATATCCTCTCTTTCCCTTGGAGTCTTTGCCATCAATTTCTCAACTACATTTACTCTCTTTCCCTTCACATCTTCTTCGTTTATATACACAGAGTATCTCTTATGATCCTCCGGAAGATGCCACGTGTACTGATAATATGCAGTGTACGGATTAAAGAACACCGGAATGCAACCGGAAATTAGTGAATCGAAAACCGATTTCCTCGTTGGACTATCTCCTGATGGTTGCAGACAGAACTCAGAGTCTCGAAAAAGCTTTATGACATTTTCAGGCTTGTTACAACTTCCATTGGAACAGTTTAAGAACCGGCATTGGTCAGAAAACGATGTGCATTGTTGGATTAGCGTTGACCGGATGCTATTAGGGTTACCGGGTCTTGCACCTCCGGCAAAACTAATTAGATTCCGGCGAGTTTTCCTCGTCATTTTGATCTGCCAGCTGATGATATCATGGTCCGTTTTAGGGTGGAAATATGTCGGATGCGGGATAGCAATGTACTTCCCATGGATGTTTTTCAATGAGAAGCTTTGTAGGTTTTTGCATTTCTTGTAACTCAAGGAACCTTGAGCCCCAAGGAAGCTTACTTCTTCTAAAATCCCAAGAAATCTTTCCAAGCACGAAGACATGATCTTTCCCTGCGTTACTATTCCAAGATTTCTTCGAACGTAGCCATTTCAAAACTTCAATACCCAACCGATCCTTCACGTCATCAGAAACATTCTTGAAATGCCATCTCAAAACATCGAAACCGCCATAAAAAGGGACATAAAAAATCTTAGCCTGGCTTTCTTTGTAAACCCTACAAGGATGCTTCAAAAACCTAGAGTGTAAGATCGGTTCAAGAGCATACTGGTGTGTCCTAAACCAACCGTGACCAAGATTCTTAATTGCTTCTCCAAAACCTTCATTCTTGAAAAACTTACACATGTTAGTCCAAGGGACCATATCGACGCAATCTACCAATAAATCTCTGTTGAACTTAGACGGTAAATCATAAACATAAACTCCTTTTCCTTCACAAGATCTCGATTTTTTGCTTTTCGCCCTAGTTGATATCCAAGATCTTTGTACGTGAAGATACTTAATCACGGCCTTTAACGCGTATTCCTCTCCTTTACTCTTAGGTTTGATGTACTTGTATTGTTCTTCCTCGGATTCGTTCTTGGATGATTTATGATTCACACCATACCGCTTTGCTACTTCGCTGGAAACTTTATCTCCGGCAGTCTCTCCGGTTAAAGTATCATTCTTTTGGGAATCCATTTCTCCATCTTTATTAAGAACAGAACTCGAACCTTTGACTTTCCTCGAACAGATGATAATGGACGAAGAAAACAAAAGATAAAGAACAAAGAACAGAGAAATTGTGAGAGGAATATATAAGATCTTCGAATCCTCTGTCTTCTTGGGCGTTGTTGGCTTTCTCTTTGAGACCAAAGTAGCCATTTCTACTCTTTTTTTTTGTTTTTCCTTCACTTACAATTTTTCTAGATTTTCTGGTTCGGGAAACTAAAGAAAAAAAAAAGAAAACTATGATCTTTTTCCTTTGGAGACATCTACATAACTAGTATGTATATATTTTATTATTAAAAGTTAGATACCTTTCTTAGTAAAGCCAACCATGAAAAATTAACGTTAAAAATTTAGATTTTAATGAATGCCAAAATTTAATAATTATATGCAGAGAATTAAGTATATATAACTATTTTGAAGGAAGTTAAAAATAAATAAAATGGATGTTGAGACAAATGATATTTTGTTATATTTTATGATCAACATATTTATTTTTATTAATGGAAAAAAAACTTTAAAAATTAAAGTATATGCATAAATCAAAACAGAAGAAGAGGTGAACTGAATTGAAATATGTCTCATTAATGAATAAGCTCATTGTATTTAAATAAAAAAAAAGAAAGAAGGTAAGAATGAGCCAATTGTATTAATTTTGTTTTGGAATATATCTAATGAGAAGATTATATATCTAATTAAGTAATCCATATATAAAATGAAAAATCATTTATATATTAGTTTACTATTTTAAAAATATAAGTTATTGAAAACTAGGTACTAAATGTCAATAAATTGGAAAAATACAAAGAAACCTAAAACATTGAAAAAAAGATTAACACAAAAGATAACATTGTTACAAGGAAGTTTTAAAAGAGAATAACTATGCTGACCAAAGAGGTATCATATATATTATAAGCAAAGTAAAATTTTTGATTTCCAGTTCTCTCATTGATTTTGGAGGTGGTTAATTATCATCTTGTCCCTCATTAAAAAGTCTATATTAGCCTTTAACTTGGTTCAAATTAAATTTAGTTATTAGTCTTTTACTCGGTTCTTATTAAATTTAGTTAAAATTTAATAATCTTAGTAAAATATAATCTTATCTTTAAATTAAATATATTTTTAAATAAAAAATCGACTATAGTTTTTTAAAATCTACCATTTTTAATTAAAAAATTATTAGTTTCTTAATATATATATATTTTTTAAAAAGGACCATTATTTTCTATTATTTTCTTAATATATTTTTTAAAAACGAAAATTATTTTCTATACACCTCAATCATTGTTTTAATTAAAACAAACTATTAATTTATTAATCTACTTTTTTTTTTAAAAACGACCATAGTTTTCTATACATCTCAATTATTGTTTTAGTTATAAAAAAAACACCCAAAAATCGAAAATTTAAGAGTACCAAAAAAAAACCCCTAAACTTTTCCATTCACTCACCTCATCTTTAATTAACAATTAATCTCCAATATATTATTTAAATAGATATATACATGCTGCAAGTTATTATCCTTACAAATATCGTTTATGCTTTTTATTTTATAAGTATAAATACGTATAGAACAAAACATGGTCAAAATAAATATTTCACTGATCAATAATATTCTTCTGTTATTCTGTTCTCATTACGTCTTTAGTTTTCTAAACCAAAAACCCTAACTTGATTTGGCTAAACACGTTTCTGCTTCCTTTCTCATTGTTTTTGCAACTGAATATGATGCCAAAAGGTATAGTTTTCTTTTAACTTTATCTTTGATTCTGTTCCGTGCTATTAATCATAATTGAAATCCATTAATATGTGTTCTTTCATAATTATAGGGTTCTGATTATTTGCCGGTGCATCTTCCTTTACCACAAAATTCCATCTATGATGATGTCAACGTGTCTGACTCGAAGAACAAAAGCAAATTGATATCTTGGATGGAATGCAATCAACTTAATCCAGCGGCAATGACATTGTTATATTCCAACATCCCTTCTAGATGGGTATGGGATCCGAAGCGATGTGAATGGATACCCGGCTCACAGTTTCTCGGAGTTCGGGTGTGCTAGAGGATTGTCCACTTAATTCTGGTGAACTCATTATCTACGCCTTCTATTGCTTGTGAGGAGAGGTCTGTGCTACTTTTAGGATATTAAAACTGTTGATGGTGTTCTTCATTCTATGTTCAAGAGGGTATGCTACACTATGAAGATCTTGACTTCTGGGATCATCCGATGTGTTGTGGAGTCTTGTCCGAGAGAGGTTGATCATTTGAGATTTCTATTGGATTATGCTAGAGATCCATGCACCTTTGCGGATATTAGGACAGTATTTAGGAATGAAGCAAAGTGGAATCTACATATAGCATGTATTTTTAATGTTTTTTTATTGTACGTTTGGATAAAGAGATTAAGAATAATTGTTGATATCATATATGGCCAAATTGTTGAAGAGAGAGAGCATATGACTTTTGTAGTCATCTGTTAAATTAGCAGATTTGAAGACTGATACATTTCTACCCCATATTTGATGAATTCTCTAAGAATCATCATGTTTCTTGATACATTATTAGAATAGTCAAACATATATCTATCTAGAAATAACTAGCTTTAAAAAAATAAACTTTTAGGCGAGTCGTTCTATAAAATCACTTTAATCTAAATTAAAATAGTTGAAAGTTCTATCACTATAACATAATTAGGAGATTCTAGAAAGAAAGAGGGAAAGAGGGAACGAGATATATATATATATATAATTAGAGAGAGAAAAAAAAAGATTAATGATAACCGATAATGGAATACTTAGATACAAGGTTATATGGCGAGGAAGAAGACAATGATGTGATAAAGAAACATCCGAAGAATAAGAAATACAAAGAAAATGTAGAAATGAGAGGGAACAAGAAGAGGAAGAAGAAATCCGGGAGAAGAAAATGAAGACAAAGCTGAATACAAAAGAAGCCAAGGAAGAAGAAGATAATAAAGAAGAAGAATAACTTTAAGATGACAAAGTAGACAACGAAGGAAAAAATAAAAAGACAATAAAGAAGGAAAATGATGAAGAATAGTGAGAAGAAAAAACGGGAAGAGTGAGAATAGAAAAATATAATTCGGAGAAGACAAAGATGATGAAAAAAAAGAATGATAAGATAACGAAAAGAAAAAAATAAGATAAAAACAGTCAGAAAAGAGAAGAAAGATATGACAAAGACAAAAAAAAATAAAAAACCGTAAGAAGAATAAAAATGCAGATTAGACCAAGACATCAAAGAAGAAGAAGGAGAGGAAGGTAAGGATTTGGAGATGATGAATAAAAATTGAAAAAATATGTAGAAGGAATTGAAGATGACAAATGTGATGAATAAGAAGAATAAAATGAATATGATGAAAAAGAGAAAAGAAAAATATGAGAAAGACGATAAACAAAACTAAAAAAAATAAGAAGAAAGAGACGAAGCGGAAGAAGTTGAAGTTGAAGATAAGATGAAGAAGAAACAAAAGAATAATAAGCCAGAGAAGACGAAAACGATCAAAAGAAAAATTAGAAGACGAAGACAATCATATATAAATAAAAAAGAATAATTGTTGAAAAAGACAAAAAATGATAAATAATAAGTCAAAGTCAAAGACGATTAAGTAGAAGAAGAAACATAAACCAAATATATTAAAGAAGAAGAAGGAAAATGCGTGAAATAACCGATTAGAATGACACACATTTACGAAAAAATAGAAAGAGTTCTGTTGAGGAAGAGATAAAAAAATAGTTTGAAAAAATCTTCTGTAATTATAAATATACGAGTGAATGGTAATGGTCGAATGTCTAACATTGTTCTTATATTTTAGAAGTTTTTTTTTTTAACAAAATTAATAATTTAATGATGTAATTATTTTATGAAACTCTTGTGTCCGCACAAGGTGCGGACTAATTACCTAGTTATTTGTATCTGATTCAATCTATGCAATTAAAAAAATAAAAACAAAACAAAAATACTACTTCGACGAACAGTAGAAAATAATTAGAAAAAATGAGTAGAGAAAAATATTTATTAAATTATCGATGAACAAAATCGAAAATGTGAAAAACAAATAAAATAATAATTTATCCACATATAGAACAATAATTCCTAGCGATCCAACTTCCAAGTGTTATTTGTTCTTTTACAAAAAAAAAAAGTGTTATTTGTTACATGACTATATTGAATTAGATTAAAGAACAGTAAATAGATTAAAAATGATGATCAACAAAAAAAATGAACATTAAGTAAGGTCATAAATCAACAATTCATCATCGCTTGTTATTATATACAGAGACTATTATCAGACACATATTTATTACGATTTGTTGATTTTCTCAAGTAAACTATCAAAAGTAATATCAAAAGCATCACGAAACTTCTCAAACTTAGCATTAGAGTCTCCATAGACCAAACCAGGCAAAAGCTGATGAACAATGTAACTTCTCATATCATCTTTCTCCTTTAGAGTTTTTGCCTTCAAGATCTCCACCACATTTACTCTCTTTTCCTTCACATCTTCTTCGCTTATATACACTGAGTATCTACGATGATCTTCAGGAAGATGCCACGCGTACTGATAATAAGCCGTGTACGGATTAAAGATCACCGGAATGCAACCGGAGATTAAAGAATTAAAGACTGATCTCCTCGTTACGCTCTCTCCCGGCGGCTGCAGACAAAACTCTGAGTCCTTGAACAGATCAATCACATTTTTCGGATTCTTGCAGCTTCCGTTTGTACAGTTCAAGAATCGGCATTGGTCATCGGAAGATAAAGATATGCATTGATCGAATAGTGTTGACCGGATGCTATTAGGGTTACTATGTCTTGCACCTCCAGCGAAGCTTACTAAACTCCGGCGAGGTTTGCTCATGATCTTGATCTGCCAGCTCGTGATATCTTCATCTGTTTGGGGATGGAAATAAGTAGGGTGAGGAACGGCGATGTCGTTGACCTGCCATGGTTGTCTTTCGATGAGAAGCTTGGTAGGGTTTTGCATTTCTTGCAACTCAAGGAACCTTGAGCCCCAAGGAACCTTATCTCTCCTGAAATCCCAAGTAATCTTTCCTAAGACGAACACATGATCTTTTCCGGAGTTTATCTTCCAAGATTCCTTTGATTCAAGCCATTTTAAAACCTCGATCCCTAACTGGTCCTTTACATCATCAGAAACATTCCGATAGTGCCATCTCAAAACATCAAAACCGCCATAGTAAGGGACATAAAAGAGCTTAGCTTGGGTCTCGTTGTAAACCCTACAAGGATGCTTCAAAAACCTAGAATGCAAAATCGGCTCAAGAGAATACTTGTGTGTTTTAAACCAACCTTGACCAAGGTTCTCAATAGCTTCACCAAAGCCTTTCATTCTTGAAGTAACTACACAAGTCAACCCCTGGAAGTATATCGTTGCATTCTACCAACAAATCTTTGTTGAATTTCGATGGTAAATCATAAACATAAACTCCTTTACCTTCACATGATCGCGGTTTGTTGTTTCCCAGTGATAGCCATGATCTCTGTAGGTAAAGATACTTGATCACTGCCCTTAAGGCATGTCCCTGTCCTTCACTCTTAGGTTTGATGTATCTGTTGTATTCTACCTCAGCCTTTAGGTCAATGAGTGAAATGAGATCGACCTTGTTCTTGGGTTTAGGTTCTTGATCAAGAACTGAATCAAGATTATTGGGTTTGTCTTCTTGTGCAAGAGCATCATACACCTTTTCATCTTCACTTTGAAAAATCTTAGTCCGATCATGGGGAACTCTATTTCTGGCAATCACTCCGGCAAAAGTGTCATCCTTTTTGGAACCCATTTCTCCACCTTTATCACCAAGAAACGAATCAAGATTCTTGGCGTTGTGTTCTTGATCAAGAACTGTATCAAGATTCTTGAGTCTGCGTTCTTGCTCAACAACATCATACTCTTCTCCATCGGAAATCATATCTCCGGCGGTCTTTCCAGCGAGAGTAAAATATTTTCGAGAACCCATTTCTCCATCTTTGTCATCATCACTAAAGTTTTCATCTTGACTGTTCGTATCTCCGAGGATCGCTCCGGAAAAAGTTTCATTCTTTCCAGGAACAATTTCTTCATCTTTACTATGAACGACACTTTTGCTTTTGAGGTTTCTCGGAATTTGAAAACGAGGTTTGGAACCAGCCGTGAGACAGTAAGGATCGTTGAGCTTCCGAGAGAAAACACAGATGTGGAGGACGTTGTTGGAGATTAAAGTGGTGAAAGATAACCAAAGATAGATAATAAAAAAGAAGAGAATTGTGAGAAGAGTTAACCAGAGAATGGATCTGAAGAATGTAGAACAAAGATTGTTACAGAAGAAGATACGGGAATCTTCTGTCTTCGTTGACGATCTTGACTTTCTCTTTGAGATCGATGCCACCATTTTTCTCACTCGGTCTTTATTTCTTCTATTTGGGATTTGTTATAAGTTTTTTTTCTTGTTTTTCCTATCAGATTTGCTATCTATTTATATATACTAGGTAAATTACTCACATGCAACACCACACGCAAGGTGTGCGATACTTAATTTTACATATTTTCTAGAAAAATATTAAACCAAAATTAACATATGAAATGAATCGACCAAGTACCAACTATATCATCAAACATAAAATGGTATCAAAGACTATATTTGTCTACATTATTAAAACACATGTAAATTTTGGTAATATGAATGTGATTTTTCTTTTCAATTAAGAGGATTACGTTTTTTTCAAAAACTTTATTTTGTTTAAATTTTGAAAAAGACAAGAAAGTGAAGAATGAAAATGAAAAATCTACCGTTAGGCTTGAGGTCGTTTTCTACAATTATCATTCATACTGGAACTTTTTTAGGAGAACTGATCAGAAAATATCTAAATTAATTTCGGCTTGCTTTTCGGTGAAAATATATTTGCTATCAAAATACTGAAATAGTATCTGATATTAAGTTAGTAGTAGTATACTATCTTTTCTTTCATTCAACCCTAGTTTAATTTACTCAATATGAATTAACCAAATCATTTCGATTATGAATTTTACAAATATAGTGTTTGGTTTTAAAATGATACTTGATCAGTCTTCTAAGTTTTTAACGACGACTCAAATTAGTTTTTTCGAATATCGTTATATATATCATGAATTAACATTATGTAGCAATCATAAAATTATGAGACTGTTCGATTCATATTTTTATAGAAATGACGTATTAATCTACAACATTTCTTTATTGCAAGTCTGTAACATCAGGCTTAAATATTGGATACATCTAGATGAAAGGAACGTAATTTCAAAAAGATTAGGAATCACAAAACGAAAGAATACCAAAGTTAAGAAGCTTTATAGTGACCAACAATTTATATAAGTTAATTCCGTAAAGAAATTGAGAATAGGTTATGTTACAACAGAGAAAATGTTAAGAAAAAAAAAAAGAAAAACAAATCTTGAAATCTCTCCTGGTAACATCTTATAACCCCCAGAAAATCTCAAAAGTAAGAAAAAACTACAACAGCAGTTTATGTATGCTACTGCAATCTTCTAAGTAGTTGTAATAATAAAACAGATTTAAAATCTTCCTTGAGATGGTTATGGTTCCTTAAGTAAATTGATATGTTGCCACCACCATGATTTTGAGTAGTGCCAGAACCATAAATTAATATTATTAGGGTCAAAAATAATTGATGAAATCAAAGCCGATCCGAAAATTAAATAGCTTGAAATAAGAATTTTTTTTTGTACTATTTTAGAACATCAGTTTTTTGTTTCAAAAAATGTTAGTATACGTTGTGAACTTTTTTAGGTATTTGGGAAGATATTAAGGCTGTACTATGATAGGTTGGTTCCTAATCAACATGACAAGTCAGTACAAGTAACTACTATAGACAGTTTAGATTCTGTTTTGGTCGTGATGTAAAACTAGACATGAGGTTTTGGTATTGTATCAAAACTGTTAACATTCTGGTCAGAAACGGAATGGTGCTGCCCTTAAGGCGACTGGCAACCTTTGTGGAGTACAAATTCTAGCTCCTGACTCTAATTACGCGAGTTCCTTTTGAGATGAACACTGATATATCTGATGCCTATATTCAAGATGCTGTCTTTAAACACCTTCGATTTTTAAGGCCTTGCAACATCGTTCTCATAATAGAAGATGGTGACTTTACACGAATGGTCGGTAAACTGAGAGCTCTTGGCGTTCAAGTTTATTTGGGAAGAAAAAGTCTCACCTGCAATTAAACACTTATAAGTGCTGTAGAAAACATTAACCAATTTGACTTCGTTGAAGAATATCTACTCCGAACAATTTGACTATCTGAAGAGCTAATTTGAGGCAGAGGTGGCCAAGCTCTCGACTCAGTAATAAGGAGCTCAGAGTTCTTTCTCCATAACAAATTTTCCTGTAATTTGCTTTAACTTTTATGTTTTGGACACCATCTTTGGCTGCTAAGAAATAATGTTTGGAATTACATTGTTTTTTCACCATTTTATCTAGGAAAATCTTCTCATAAAAAAAAAGTTAGTATACATATCATGAAACTTATATTTTATATTTTTTTTTGTTATACAATAAACAAAAATAACCAGTTTAAGAAAAACTAAATTAACTATAAGAAATAATGCAATAAGTTTAAAAAATAGATTATAACTTAATAAAAAAACAAATAAATATAAAATGCTAAATTAGTGAGGTGAATAATAAGCCTCCATTATTCTTCTCAGTTTGTTCATCCACTTCAGAGATAACATTCCGACATGTCTTAGTAATCACATCCTTTATCGAGATTTCTGCCTCAAAGCCTAGAATCCCAATATTTATTCCCTTCCTCCCAAACGTAATCTCAGCAATCCTGTCATCAGCTAACGGGAACCAAACTTCTATCCTTACTCACCCTATGATACTCATAATCAAGGTCAAGTTTTGCGAAATGAGCTATTGCAATCCATTCACGCTTTGGAAGGTAGTGGTCGAGCCATTTTTCTTTGATCTTTGTCTTTTCAATAAAGAGCTTGAATTAATCAGTGAGCTCATCCTTCTTCTTGCCTTCTTCCTTAGCCACGCCTTTATCTTTCATCATGGCTTCTTTCTTCTTTCATGATCAAAAGTTCTTGTCTTAGTAATGGTGAAATTATACAGTGGAAGAGAGAAACAGAGAGCGCATCAGTGCTCCTCCTGGTTGTCTTGGAATAGAACAAGAAGCTGAAGAAGAAATAGACTGACTCCAAGATGGTGAAAGTGAGAGATTCGAATTTGCGTATGGAACAAGACTACGAGGTTCTGATTTACAATTCGCCACCATGGATGGATCAAGACTTGCTCATTATGCTTCTCTTTGCTCCAAAAAAAAAATTCCAAAAAATAATTAAATTTTTATAAATTAATAATGTTGGAATTACAATATACTATTAATTTATCGAGTTTTTAATTTATTAATATAATTTTTTTTTGAAAAATTAATTTGGAATTCAGAAATATATTAGTTTATCAAAGTATTAATTTATTGAATATTAATTTATAAAGATTATACTGTACATGTACATAGCTATTAGTTTGAATTTACCGGTTCAATACCGAACCGAATCAATTGTATTGCATTTACTGGTTTACGAGAAATATGCATGTTCTAGTTTCAAATTATATAGAAACCCATTTGTTTGGGCCTACGTGAAGCCCATTTAATTCCCAGAGCTAGGTTATTTTTCTTCTCTTCCGTTCTATCTCAGTCTCCATTGAAGCGGCAAATAACGAAACTCCAACGCGAACCATGGAGCCGAATCCAACCTCGATGTGGAGTTCCATAGTGAAGAAAGATCCTCCTTCGAAGCCTCCGGCCACCGGCGGAGCTCCGGCGGCGATTATCGGAATGGTCGGAAGCTGCAAATCCACAAAGGGAATTTCTATGGCTGTTGTTGACGCCAACGCCGTAATCCAAGGAGGCCAGAGCTTAAACAACTTCGCCGACAAATTCGTAACCGTCCCTGAAGTTCTCTCCGAGATTCGTGACCCTAATTCTCGCCGTTTTCTCGACTTTATCATCCCTTTCACTATCGACCCCATGGAACCTTCTCCTGAATCTCTCACTAAAGGTGTGATTCTCGTAACTAAGTTCTGAGCTGAATTTTCATTCTATTGTTTTCTTAAAATGGGATTTTGGGCTCGTTTGTTTGAATTCGATGCGTGAGACTATTGCAATTTCTGTGTAGATTTCGAGAAAAGCTTATAGATTTTGGACTGATTTCGTATGTTTATATGTTGTGTTTGAGGAAAGATAATATCTGACAATGACACTTCTTTTCCTGCAGTTATTAAATTTGCTAGAGCTACTGGTGATTTGCAGAGTCTTTCTGACGTTGATCTCAAGCTCATTGCTTTGACATACACGCTCGAGGCTCAGGTTCATGGGACCAAAAACCTCAGAGATGTTCCTCCGCCGATTCAAACTGTTACGGTAAAGAGATTAGCTGAGAAGGATTTACCTGGTTGGGGCTCCAATGTGGCTAACTTGGAGGAGTGGGAGGCACTAGAAAACGAGAACGAGGAAAAATCCAACTCTAACTCCAAAATTCTTCCGCTCAAGGACCTTAACATGAATATCATCCCTTCAGACATTACTTCTGAGATTGGTTCTGTTGTGTCTCATACTGAGAATCAAGAAGTGGATGATCAAGAAGGGGAGAGGAGGCATAGGCGATACCCACCCAAGAAAACAGAGGTAAAGCTTGAGGGTAAGATGGTAGTGGAGGGAATAGATGCATCGCTGGGAGAACATGATGATGAAGATTCTGGCGACTGGAGACCTGCAGTTAGTAGCAGTACTCACAGAAAGTTCCTTAGAAGAAAGGCGAAGTGGGAACATTACAATGCCTTGGCTGAACAAGAAATGCAGCAAGATCAGGAAGCTGACAAAGCTGGCAAATTGACCGAGGACACAACCGACCAGATGTCTGAAGACGCTGATGAAAAGTGTGCAAAAGATATCGGAAAGAATGATGAGGATCTCTCGTCCATCCTAAAAGATATGAGGTTGGAGGAAGATTCAGCAAAGGCTCTCCAAGAAGGGCTTGGAGAAACGAATGCTGAAGCAACTTTGAGCAATGATGAGGATGATATCGATCATGATGTTGATGTTGAGGGGATCGATGTTGCTTGTGAGGCATCGTCGATGGCAGATGATGGTAGCAGCGAGCAGAGTTGGTCGTTGAGAGCCTTGTCTGAGTCCAGTGTAGCTTGTATAACCGGTGACTTTGCTATGCAAAATGTTATTCTTCAAATGGGTTTGCGTTTGCTTGCACCCGGAGGAATGCAAATTCGCCAACTGAACAGGTACATTTTCTGAATCAGATCCACCTTTTTTTTTTTTCAAATGCCGACTAGCATGCTCACTAGCTGAGAAAGATACAATTCTTACACTTTATTGCATTTGGATCGTCAGGTGGATCTTGAAATGCCATGCTTGCTACACAGTAACTCCTGAAACTTGGAGAATCTTCTGTCCCAAGTGCGGTAATGGCGGCACTCTACGCAAGGTAGCCGTTACAATAGGCGAGAATGGCACTGTAGTAGCTGCACGTAAACCACGAGTCACACTTCGCGGGACCAAAGTAAGTTACTCGTTATGAGCTGAAGCTAACCGAAATTGCGTTTAAACACAGCATGTATGCATGATAAGTTCATTATACTTGAATTCATTTGTTACCCTGCTTTTAAACGGAGACTCTCGTCTTCTTATTTCTTTGTGCAGTTTTCGATACCAATGCCTAAAAGTGGAAGAGACGCAATCACCAAGAATCTGGTTCTCCGGGAAGATCAACTCCCACAAAAGTTTCTCCATCCCAAGACCAAGAAGAAAGCAAGCAAACCGGTTAGTACCATACAAACTCAAAATCTATATAGCCTTTGATTGAAATAAAACTTTTTAAGGTAATTTGGGATTTGATTATCTCGTTGGTTTTTGTCAGGGAGATGAGTACTTCATATCAGACGATGTGTTCATGAACCACCACAGTGATAGAAAGGCACCATTGCAACCTCCTGTGAGAAAAGCTATGGCGGTTTTCAGCCAGAAACGGAACCCTAACGACAACCATTACTCTCGTTCTATGCACTGATCTTTTGTTTCTCCGACACAACAAGCATCTCCTTTACTTTTGATGATGATGCCAATGATTTTGTCTCTTCTTTTGTATCTTTTTTTTTCTTTGGTTGTTGTCTTGAAGTCCAAAACTAAGTTTTAAAAAGTGAGATATTATAAATTTTATTCGATTCCCGAATTTGTATTTTTATCAAAAACAAAAAGGTTAAGAGGGATTTTGAGAAATAGCTCGTGTCAAGGTTCTTTATGTACTCTTCTATTATTATCCCCAATCAAGTTTTCCGCGTAGCCTATTTACAAATAAGAGATCTGTTTAGATTTTAGCAACACGAAGGACAAAATAGAAAAAGGCAAAATGTTCGATTGAAAAAGTTAGTGCCAATGTCAAAACTAACAAAACCCAATTTATTTAAAATTTAAGAGTGTTTATTTGAGTATTTATTCCTTTCATTTTCCTCTTCATCTTCTTTAGAAGGCGAAGCCAGCGCAAGTTCGGCCCATGCCAACGAAGACGACCTGAGCTCTGCTGAAATAGACAAACTAATTCTACTCTCTAATGTGTCACAAAGCTCTTGAACCAAACATCTCTGATTATTGTCTTCATCATTCTGGTCCAAGTTCAAGCATTGGCTCGCCACTTCACATACCGCCTCAAGTTCCTTTTGGTTGAAATGCTTCAGCTCAAGATCCACCAAACTAGCCATCACTTCTGGTGCACCAAGATACTCCTTTGCCTACACCACAAAACCACAATTCTGGTTCAGAATTCAGAGCCTGAAACTGATCTCAGCATCCTCAGGTATATTCTCTCATTCAATGAACCAATTCCATTGTGAAGTAGCAAAGTTTGAAACTTTTTTGAGTTTCCAAAAATGGGTAAGAAGGTAAATGATCCATCCTTGTTTCAAACAAGTATGAGAGAAAGGGACTAATAGAGAAGAGCTATTCTTACCCATTCAACCAAACAGCCTCTTTCTAGGCAATAAGAAGGTCTTCCGCTCACAATTTCCAGCAAAAGCATGCCAAATGAGTAGATATTCCCTTGCAAATTCATACCTCGATGCTCCATTGCGCTGGGAAGTACACATATAGCTCCTTCACTACTGATATCCGTCAAAATCTTCTCTGACCTCGCGTGAATCGTCTTGCAGCATTCAAAATCAACCAGCTGCATAGAAAGATAAAAAATAAAGACTTCAGAGTCTAGAAGCAAAGCTTTAGCTATATGTATCATCTAGGAAACAGCCTGGTTCAACTTTACTTTGGGAGTGAAATCTTCAGTGAGATACACTGCATTTGAGTTCAACTCAGAGACTGTAAATGGAGGATCGAGCTCAGTATGAAGGTACTTGAGACCACGTGCGATGCCTACAACGATTTTCATGCGTTTTGCCCACGAGACTAAACTTCCTTCCCCATCTGCACCAAACATATTATCAGCTAACTCAACTAGTGAAAACTGCCAAAACCAGAGCTCTAAGAAAGTTTTGATTTTATATATTACAGTGGAGGTGCTCGTATAGTGTCCCATTTGATGCATACTCAAAAACAAGCATTCTTGTAAATGGTTTATCTTCTTTGCAGTATCCAAGTAACTTCCCCGCATTTTCATGGTTTAATCTAGCCAAATCCGCAACCTGTCAACAATGAATGGTCACGAAAAATCAGGATTTTTACTGATGTTTTGTTGCAAGTGGCTCAGTGATGATGACACAAGAAGAAGATGAAGAACCTCTCTCTGGAAATAAAGCTCAAGAAATCCACTCCAGACTTCTTCTTTAACGCAGAGAGAGATCACCGCAATCTCGGTCTCGCCTTTGATCGTTCCTTTGTAAACCTGACTATCTTCACAAGAATCAATGATGTTGCTGAAGTCTTCACACGCTACTTCTAGCTCTTGTCTTGTGAACCTTGAAACATCCTTCAGCATTTCAGAATCTGTAAGAAAAAACCACTTCTCCGTAACTTTTCTCATCTCTGGAAGCTCTTTAGGCTTTTTGTATTGAAATCTTAGAAATTCCAAAAGGTTCTAACCAACGTAGACCGTGAATTGCTCTTTTTCACTTGCAGATTTCTTCCAGGGAACGATGAGAGAGCGCTTTATGTTGCACAAGCTAAACGCAGAGAAAATCACAACTAGAAAGAGCAAACCAACCGAAGATCCCGTGACTATCTCAAAATCCAGAAGCCACATAGGTCTCGATCCTCGTTTTTTCTTCTTGGCCAAGACTGCAGCTAGCCAATTCAGAAATGAAAAATTAGATACGGAAATCTACTATCTTATAGGTGTCAATAAAGTGAAACTCAGTATTCTACAAACCACACTCTGAAGAAGGCCTCTGCTTAACCTCCTTGGTTTTCATGCAGTTTCCTTGAAAGCTCATTCTAAGACCATTTTCCAAGAACAAAGAGAGATTATTCAGATGACAAAATGTACATCCAAGTAGATCAAAAGGGTCTTGCAAGAATTACCTTGAAAGGTATTCCAAACAACTCGGAATTCTTCCCTCGAAAAAGTTGTACGAGAAATCTGCCACTTTCAATTGAGAAGACTTGCACAAACCAGTGATGTTTGCACTTTGATTTGAATCATTCAGACAAAAAAAAAAAAAGAACATAGATTAACAATTTCATGATAGACAATAAGTAGTGTTCATCGCATTCCCCTAAGGCTATTGGTTTAACTCACCTTTTTGATGTTTTAGCAACAGGAATACTTCCTTGCAGCCTATTCCTGTCAATACGAAGTTCTCTAAGGTGATTCAAGTTTCCAATCTCTGGAGGTAATTTTCCTGTTAAACCATTGGACTGAAGGTTTCTGTAATGTACGAGAAAACACATACAAAAAATGGTTATCTCAGCACATTCTCAGATTAAATGACATTGCAAGTGTCAAAGTTTTAAGCTCTTTATTACATTTTTATAACGTTGGACAAACTCCCAATCTCTGCTGGAACCGGTCCTGTCAAATGATTGTTTCCCAAGTCTAAGATCTTGAGTTTCTTCAACTTTCCTATCTCTTTTGGTATGGTCCCCATTAGAATGTTTCCGCTAAGGATCCTAAAGAAAAATTCACCACACACACAAAAAATCCATCTGTAAAATTACAACACTGTCATCAAACTTACATACAATTTTCAGGTACTGTCAATAGGAATCAAAACCATACAGTTCTTGCAAGTAGGTTATCTGACCAAGTTCTGGCACAAGAAGCCCTCTCATCGATGCATCCGATATATTTCTGCACAAGTTTCACGGCATGAAACAGATATCAAATCTAGTCATTTTTTCTTTTTATAAAGAAAACTAATTAGAATGCAGGAAGAGATCAAAGTTTCTTACATTTTGATAATATGATCCTTAGATGGAGAACATTTAATGCCGGTCCAAAGGCAAGGATCCGAATCGGGGACATTCCAATTAAACATAACTAGCAAAGGATCCTTATACATAGCTTCCTTGAATCTCCTAAGAGCTTCAACTGATAATAATAATATAACAAAAAAAACCAACATTTACTTCTTATGATCATGCACAAAACTAAATTTTCAACTTCCTAGAATAACTCAAATCAAAAGCAAATTCTTCAAATTGATTCCGAACAAGTGTTTAAAGACCTTCATAGAGACTAGAAGACTAAATTTCCGATACTTCCAGAATTGAAATACAGAACCGTCGAAGAAATTGGAGAAAGCATATACCTTCTTTAGAGGGAAACGCGTCACAGGAAACAAAGAGGAACCCTAGAACAAGACTTACAAGGGAACGCTGTAGAGTTGAAGATAAGTAAAATCTCATATTTTTGTTCTATTTGCCCAAAGACTACAAGTTTTTTTAGCAAAACTACAAAGACGAGAGCTTTACTCAAGAATACTTTGTAATAGAGATGTTTGAGATTAAAGGGCAGAGCGAGATTTATAAGACAAAGGAATAAAGCTTTAAATCATAATCTGGGTATTTAGCAAAAACCCATCAAAGGAAATTGAAGTTTCAAAATAACAGAGTGACGAAGGCGAGAGAGAGAGAGAGAGAGACGAATCAAAAGACAGTTTTTTTTTTTTTTTAACATCATTTTCTTGTTTTATTCAGTAGGGGAAAGAAATTGTGCTTTATCTTTTTCCTTTAGCAAAGAAGGAAACTAATTTTATTTAAATCATTTGGCCCTAAACTTTTGACTACGGCTCATTACATTTAATTAGCAATAGATTGCATTTTTTCTGTAATGAAATTATGTATATCTCTTTCCAAGTATAAATAATTTGACAATAAGCCAAATTTCGACAAAAAAAAAAAGAAGAGACTGTAAGCCAAAATAAACTAATAAATTGTTGACGAAAAAAAGAAAAAACTAATAAATTAGTTCGTATTCAGGGACAACATGCATCAGCAGCATCTTCGAAACTTCCAAAGTCAATATATATTTACCTGCTTTGACTGAGAAAGACGACTTCTCATATATTATATTTAGGGGAAAATGGTCAAAATCTAACTGAACTAAATTTTGTGGGCCGAAAAATATTTGGACTATAATACGGTGTCAAAACCTAGCTAAAGTCTAAAAAAATTTGAATTATCTATCTGAACTTATAAAAATGTGTTAAAATCTATATTGACCATCTCACCGTTAGTCAACGCTCACAGAATAATGAGGTAGCCGACATGTCACTGTTCCGATGTGACAATAATACCAAAAATGTTGTCGTTAACTATTTTTGAACCAAAAATCATTAAATCAAATCGAAGTCGTTTTAATTTAAGAAAAAAAATTCCCAAATCGATTTAGAAATCAATTTAGGGTTTATCATGTCTTCTTCAAGAACAATGTCTTCTCCGAGATCTGGGCTTGCTCTTCCCAGAACCACCACCGTTTGATCTTCTCTTGCCACCACCTCTCATAATTTATAACCCAATGCCAGAAAACCCTAAATTGGGGAAGACGATGAATAATCGAAACGAAAAAATCAGATCTTTTTATTAGGGGTCACTTGCCATCTCTCTTGTTCTTCCCAAAACTGCTGGGCCACGTAGACAAAAAATAATGGGTTTCGTGTCGTTTTGCTTCCTCTAGTGGAGGAATCAACTGTTGGATATTCAGAAAATGTGACCCATTCTAAATTGAACCCTATTTTTCATATCCTATACTATAGTTGGACAAATCCAGGATATTACAAGCTCTGGTACCAAATAAAAGCTGTTTTTTATTGTCCAGAAATCGCCGGAGAAGATAAACCAACACAATAGAGCAGCTCCTCTTTTGAATCTTACAACCAGTTTCAGATCTGTAATTTATCTCATAGCCAATTGAGACCGAGCATCTGTCTTTTTATTGTTTGATTTCGATTTTAAGCTTATTGACTTGGGTAAGCTCTGGGTGATCATGAGCATCTGTCTTTTTATTGATTCGATTATTGCTTCGCATTGTTGCTCTCTTCATTGAATTGTTTTTAAAGAAGATAATGATAAATCCTAAATTGATTTCAAATAAAAACCGTAAATTAATTTCTAAATAGATTTGAGAATTTTTTTTATCTTAAATTAAAACGGTTGTTTTGATTAAATGATTTTTGGCCCAAAAATAGTTAAAACGACAACGTTTTTGATATTATTGCCACATCGGAACAGTGACATATCGGCCACCTCATTATTCTGTGAATGTTGGCTAACAGTGGGATGATCAAAATAGATTTTAGCATATTTTTATAAGTTTAGATAGATAATTTAATTTTTTTTAGACTTCGACTAAGTTTTGGCATCGTATTTTAGTTCAGATTTTTTTTGGCCCACAAAATTTAATTCAACTAGATTTTGGCCATTTTCCCATTATATTCAGTCGATTGTTTTAGAGGATGAGAACGGTTTTGCCCGTCCTCGAGATGTTCGTTTATAGTTGGTTTTTTAGATTTTTAATAAATTAAGAGGGCTTTGCCCCCGATTTCAATAAAAAAAAATATATGATATATCAGAAATATTGCCAATTAAATTTATAAGTGTGAGATCAAAACATACATTCTTGAGGTTTGTATTAGTGTTACTGTCATTCTATAATCCATTTTTTTATAAATAAAAAAAGAAACCCTTCATTAAAAAGACAAAAAATATTTAAATCTTTTTGTCTAATTATGTAAATTATAGAGGACAGAATAATAATTATGAATGACATTTCATATAATTAAATGTTATTAGTTCAACAGCTAAAAGGTCTCGAGTTTTAGTTTTTAAAAAATCCTATTCGAGCTTACAATCTCTAAGTTTTTTTATTAGATCATCAGCATTCACAAACAGGCAAACAAAAAATAATTCGCAAAATAACATGTAAACCATTTTCATCTGATTGTCTTATGTATTTCCTTCCCTTTTTTGTCATTACATTTAACACAGTAAATTAAAATTATAATGTGAAAGGGTTGTACTTAACTAATCTGCATTTTCTTCTTGCTTTACATTAGATTTTATGTTTGTTTTGATTTTTTTTTTCTTTTTTTGGGTAAACAATTAAACGATATTATTTTATATTGAGGTAGGTTTTAGTGGAAGTAATGTATGATTACATACAAAATTATATAAACGCGTCGCTTTTTGAAAAGTAATCTGCAACTTTTTATTAAACTTTACCTTAACAAAAAATTTACAAATTTCATCTGGTGGTTAAATAAATGTCTACAGACTACTGATCTTGATGACCGTAAATAAATCATACTGTATTTTACAAAATTAGATAATGGGCTTTTTAGTATTTGACCCATTTAGATCGGCTCATTAAATCGTTAATCATGTGAGTCAACGCCCTTACACAAAGTCAAAATTTACACGTGTACCAATTACGCTACTTTCTTGTTCACTCTGTCGATTTAGGGTTCTTACGATTCGCAGAAAAATTTCTGGAATCGAATTAATTTTGCGACGATTCCAATCAAAGGCAGAATCGATTGCATCTGGAGTTGCGTTAATGGCGATGGGGTTTCTTCATCTTCATCGTTTGGAGAAAGGTAACTCTGGAACCGCTCTCTCCTTTAGCCGCCTGTTGAGTCTCAGTTTCTGGGTACGAGCTTTTTGTGATTACCGAGCGATTTTGAAGAACGGTCTTGACTCTCTTCAGTTTAACGAGGCTTTGGATCTATTCACTCACATGGTTGAGTCTCGTCCCCTACCTTCCATTATCGATTTAACTAGGTTATTGACTGCGATTTCCAAAATGAAGAGATTTGATGTTGTGATCAATCTCTGCGAGCATCTACGAACGATGGGGATTTCACATGATCTCTATACTTGCAATCTTTTGATGAACTGTTTCTGCCAATCTTCTCAACCTTCTCTTGCTTCGTCTTTTCTCGGGAAGATGATGAAGCTTGGTTTCGAGCCTGACATCGTCACGTTCACCTCTCTGATCAATGGGCTCTGCCTCGGGAATAGGATCGAAGATGCGATGTCCATGGTTAATCAGATGGTGGCCATGGGAATCAAACCAGATGTTTTAGTGTACACTACAATCATTGAGGTTCTTTGTAAGAACCGGCATGTGGATGATGCGTTGAATCTTTTCAACAAAATGGAGAGCAATGGAGTTAGACCAGATGTTTTCACCTACACGTCTCTCGTAAACGGTCTTTGTAACTCTGGTAGATGGAGCGATGGTGCTATTCTGCTTAGAGATATGATGAAAAGGGATATAAAACCTGATGTAATCACTTTCAATGCATTGATCGATGCGTTTTTGAAAGAAGGAAAGCTTTTGGAGGCTAGAGAACTGTACAGTGAGATGATTCAAATGTCTGTAGCTCCTGATACTTTCACTTACACTTCATTGATCAATGGGCTTTGCATGGAAGGTCGTGTTGATGAGGCCAAAGAAATGTTTTCTTCGATGGAAGCCAAGGGTTGCATTCCAGATGTAGTGGCTTATACTTGTCTCATAAATGGGTTTTGCAAATCGTGCAAGGTGGAGGATGGGATGAAAATCTTCTACGAGATGTCTCAAAAAGGTTTACTCGGTAACACAATCACTTACACCACTCTTATTCAAGGTTTTTTTCAAGTGGGCAAAGATAGAGTCGCACAAGAAGTTTTTAATCTGATGGTTTACCGTGGCGTTCCTCCCAATATTAGGACCTACAACGTTTTGTTACATGGTCTGTGTTATAACGGGAAGCTTGAAAAAGCGTTGATGATATTTGAGGATATGCAAAATAGAGAAATGGATATTAGTATTATTACGTATACTATCATCATTAAAGGGATGTGCAAAGCTGGTAAATTGAAAGATGCTGTTGATTTGTTTTGTAGCCTCTCCTCCAGAGGAGTGAAACCTAATGTTGTAACATACACTACAATGATATCAGGGTTGTTTAGGGAAGGGTTAAAGTTTGAAGCTCATGTGTTGTTTAGGAAAATGAAAGAGGATGGGGTTTTACCAAACGAAGGCATGTGTTCTTAGGTGACACCATAGCTGAACTGATCATAGTATTGAGGAGTTGAGGGTTCTCTGAGGATGCTTCTACTCACAGAAAACGAAGTTGATGGTGCAGTTGCAGTTTGTGATGGGACATACAACATGTTGCCTATATGTGTGTAAGATGATTCAGGTTGGGTTCGATTCTTGATTGTTTCAAATGTGTATCTTCGATTCTGGTTTGCTCTAGAAGAAAGGATTCTGGTTTTCAGGTTTTCAAGGAGAAGACTCAGATAGGCTCCCGTAGGGATGAAGAGCAAGGATTTGATGAAGCTGTGAGATTGTTTATACATACTCTGCATTGATATAGAAAAAGGAATTTGTAAGAAGAATGTGCACAAAGAAACGAGGCTTCTTAATGAGATGCTAGCCGGAAAATTTGGTTTCAGAACTGCTAACTTTACAATTGTTGAACAGTGTAGGCTGATTTAGATAGTGCATATAGATTGATTTCTTTCATCAAAGTAAGCGGAAGGAATCCCAATTTTGTAACCTGTGGATGCTAAATTTTTGTATTCTTTTGTTCTCTTACTAATTGACAGTCAAAGTGTAGAAATACAAAGATGTTCTCTTACTGATTTGAGTGATGAAGCCAGGATCAGATAAACAAAGGAGGAACATTGCGACAAGATGTTCTCTTGTATTGTATAGGTTTGATCTTGATTACAAAAGACAACAGTTACCTCGAAATTTAGATGATGATATACGCACATTGTTGTACTATAGACTAAAAGAAAAGCAGAATAAAAAACAGAGTAACAGAAGCTATTGTTATCTTTGAAAAGACGTTTTGAAGAATCGAACCCTGGACCTGGTGATACTGGACAATGATTGATTTATTATCAAACGACGTCGTTGTTTAGTTTGAACGTTTTGACTTTTGACCGTATAAAGCTTTTTATCGTCGTCGGTCTGTCGTTCTCCGATTTGCGTCGTTCTTCTTCTTCCATGGCGCTTAAATTTCACCAGCAGATCATATCGGATCTTCTCGAGGACTCTAATGGCGGATTAGTGATCCTCTCTTCTGGTCTCTCCCTCGCTAAGTTAATCGCTTCTCTGCTCATCCTTCATTCTCCGTCCCAAGGAACCTTACTTCTCCTCCTCTCTCCCGCCGCTCAATCACTCAAATCCAGAATCCTTCATTGCATCTCCTCCCTTGATTCTCCTACTCCGACGGAGATCACCGCCGATCTTCCGGCGAATCAGCGTTACTCGTTGTACTCCTCCGGCAATCCTTTCTTCATCACGCCGCGGATTCTAATCGTCGATCTCCTTACTCAACGGATTCCAGTTTCTTCACTCGCCGGAATCGTTATTCTTAATGCTCATTCACTTTCTGAAACTTCCACCGAAGCATTCATCGTGCGAATTGTCAAAACCCTAAATGGCTCCGCCTATGTACGCGCCTTTTCCGATAGACCGCAAGCTCTGGTCTCCGGCTTCGCCAAGACTGAACGCACCATGCGTGCTCTCTTCCTCCGCCGACTCCACCTATGGCCCAGGTTTTGTAAATTGGACTTCACTTTATTGAAAAAGCTATATTGGTTGGATCATTACGACTCCATCAGTTAGGAATTGATATCAAGGGTTTGGTCTGGATCAGGTTTCAGCTGGATGTGTCTCAGGAATTGGAGCGAGAACCGCCTGAGGTTGTGGATATTAGGGTTTCTATGTCGAAATACATGGTGGGGATACAGAAAGCAATCATTGAAGTCATGGACGCTTGCCTCAAGGAGATGAGGAAGACTAATAAGGTCGATGTGGATGATTTGACTGTAGAGAGTGGTTTGTTCAAGTCCTTTGATGAGATTGTAAGGAGGCAGCTTGACCCCATTTGGCATACTCTGGGGAAAAGAACCAAACAGCTTGTTTCTGATCTGAAGACTTTAAGGAAGTTGCTTGACTATCTCGTCAGGTATCGTGCTTTTTCAAAGCCACCTGCGTTTGGGACATTGAGAAATTCTCTTCGCTTTGTCTTGATCATTAGCTTAGAGCTTTGTGTTCTGTGGTTTCTAATGGCTATTTGTTGTTATGTTTATGAATCTCTGTGTAGGTATGATGCTGTGAGTTTTCTGAAGTTCTTGGATACGCTAAGGGTATCGGAGAGCTATCGATCAGTTTGGTTATTTGCAGAGTCCAGCTATAAAATATTTGATTTTGCAAAGAAACGAGTGTATCGTCTCGTGAAGGCAAGTGATGTCAAGTCGAAAGAACATGCTAAGAATACTAGTGGTACAAAGAGAAAGTCAAACGCAGAAAATGCCTCTGTAGAAGCAGGTAACCGAGTCTGGATCTACAATAGTTGTATCGTGCATCTAGTGACTTTCGTGTTATATGTATTTTAATTTTGTTGCGGATATATTGACCTGAATCAGTTGGTGGTGCAACAGGTATAAATGTGGCTACTGGCGTTGCTCTTGAAGAAGTTCTAGAAGAGGCACCAAAATGGAAAGTCTTACGTGTGAGTGACTGAGTGAGTTTCAGTTTCAATGCCATTTCTCTGTTACGGTTGATTTGGTGATGGAAATTGGTTCAGCCGCCACACTTTATGACTGTCCAAAACATGTTCACTACTTAGCAGTAGGAAATCGTTGTAAACCTAATGATGATTGATACAGGATATTTTGGAAGAGACACAAGAAGAGAGACAAAAGCAGACTCTTTCTGAGGAAGACAACTTTGACAACAATGGAATAGTTCTTGTGGCTTGCAAAGATGAACGTTCCTGCATGCAGCTTGAAAATTGCATCACAAACAATCCACAGAAGGTCCAGTTAGATTACACATTTTGTTATATCTTACATCATGCATTGACAACCGATTAGAATTCAATCTGTTATCTTTGTTTGGCCCTCACAAGTCTTCTTATTTTACGTATACTTGTGCAGGTAATGCGGGAAGAGTGGGAAATGTACCTGTTGAGCAAAATCGAGATCCGCAATGTGCAGACACCGCAAAAGAAGAAACAAAAGACTCCCAAGGGTTTTGGGATTCTTGATGGAGTAGTTCCGGTAACTACAATACAGAGCTCGGAGGGTAGCAGTGTTTGCAGACAAGAGCATGAGGCTCTTATGGCTGCTGCGTCTTCCATTCGCAAGCTAGGCAAGAAAACCGATATCGCATCTGAAAATAAGATTTCAGAGCCTCACGTTGATAAGGCTTCTTGTACCAAAGGAAAAGGTAAAAAGGACTCAACAAGTCTTCGGAGATCCATAAGAAGTTGCAATAAGAAATCAGGAAACAGTGAACCCGAAATCTTATTAGGCTCAGAGAGTGAAGAAAAAGCTAGTGAAGCTAGCACATCAGGCCCTCGAGAAGCTAAGAAGCTGCCGCCTGTGCATTTTTATGCCTTAGAAAGTGATCAACCTATACTAGATGTTTTGAAACCGTCTGTGATCATTGTCTACCATCCGGACACGAGTTTCGTCAGAGAAATTGAGGTGTACAAAGCAGAGAACCCTCTGAAAAAGCTGAAAGTTTATTTTCTTTTCTACGATGAATCCACAGAAGTGCAGAAGTTCGAAGCAAGCATACGCCGGGAAAATGGAGCTTTTGAATCATTAATCAGGCAGAAGTCTTCGATGATGATTCCCGTAGATCAGGTTTGTAACTCAAATCCCAACATTTGAGTTGAAGCAAAGTTAGATGAAACAGCTAACCGGAACGTAGGTTGTCCACTTGTTATCTATCTCCTTCTTTCTTCTCATCCATCTTATGCTATGACTTGGAATCAGGATGGGCTTTGCATGGGGTCGAATTCATCTACAGATTATCCAGCTTCAAGTACTCAAAACTCATTAACCCGAAAAGCAGGTGGAAGAAAGGAAATCGAAAAAGAAACACAGGTTCATATCTCCCTACTTATCTAATCTCCAAGACAAACCCGATTCAGCAAACCTTTTACATAAAAAATTATTATTTGGCTTTTTCTTCAGGTAATAGTTGACATGAGGGAGTTTATGAGCAGCCTACCAAACGTTCTTCACCAGAAAGGCATGAAGATAATACCAGTTACGCTAGAGGTCGGCGACTATATCCTTTCGCCTTCAATATGCGTGGAGAGAAAAAGCATTCAGGATCTTTTCCAGAGCTTCACATCAGGTCGTTTATTCCACCAAGTCGAAATGATGGCCCGGTATTACAGAATACCCGTACTTCTCATCGAGTTCTCTCAAGATAAAAGCTTCTCCTTTCAGGTAACCTCTCACATCCCAAGCTTTCACAGTCAAAATATGTTACCTGTTTATCTTATATTTATCATGTTTTGATCTGTTCTTCATTGAGTTTGTATTGGCTTCTCTTTTCCTTTGCAGTCTGCGAGTGATATATCAGATGATGTGACTCCATATAACATCATATCGAAACTATCACTGCTAGTTCTGCATTTTCCTCGGTTAAGGATATTATGGTCTCGAAGTCTACACGCAACCGCTGAAATCTTCGCGACCTTAAAATCCAACCAAGACGACCCCGATGAGACCCGAGCAATAAGAGTTGGTGTGCCTTCAGAAGAAGGGATCATAGAAAATGACATCAGGTAACACCAAAAAAAGCTCTCTATTCTTAAAAACTGCAAAGATCAGTTTTTGATATACGTTTTGAATGAAAATCGAAATTGACTCATCGTGTGAACAGAGCCGAGAACTACAACACATCAGCAGTAGAGTTTCTGAGAAGGCTTCCTGGAGTATCGGACGCTAATTACAGATCGATAATGGAGAAATGTAAGAGTTTGTCTGAGCTTGCGTCTTTGCCTGTGGAGAAATTAGCAGAACTCATGGGTGGTCACAAAGCTGCTAAGAGTCTCAGAGAGTTTCTTGACGCAAAGTATCCGACTTTGCTTTAAAGAGAGGTCAGGTCAACAACTAGTTAAACTTTAGAAGCTCAATCACACAAAGCTTGCTTTATTAGTTCTTTCTTGTTACATTTGTTGTAGATTAGAAAGTAATGCTCCATTGATAATTTATCAATCTGTTATAACAATAACACTAGTGATCATACTCTGATTGTATTTAAACTGTTTCCATATCCGATTTTGTATGAATCAAAGAATATAGATTCTTATAAAGAAAGGTGAGAAAGAAGAGGAGTCAACTCATAAAGTATGGAGTTTGTTTGCTTCTGAAAGACCGGGAATCTTTCCTTAAATAAATTTTGATCCCTTTGTAGATTAATTTTAGTGACAAATGAAATTCGTTGTAAAAATCATATCATAAATAATTAACCATATAACATATACATATTTTTATCATTATAATTATATACCTCTATAAATTAATAATATTAGGATCATAATATTTTATTAATTTATCGTGATATTAATTTATCTATAAATTAATAATTATTAATTTATAGTGAAAATTGCTTTCTGCATATAATTTTTTAAAAATTTATTTGAAATTATGTTATATTTTAAAATTTTAACAAATCTTATAATATATATCATGATTAAAAATCATAACTATCACAATAAAATAGTTTTTTACCATATTGGATTGTCCATATAAAAATATACATATTCATAAATTTAAAATTTATTAAA